TTTTTTTTTTTTTTTTTTTTTTTTCTGCAAGTCTGTTCGGTTGAACGAATTTTGAAACTGTTCTTTTTACTGATTTTGTTATCTGTGGGCTACCGGAGGTTTCAGGACCGCCGGAGTTTCTGAATAATTCGGTTGAGGAGTTTGCTGCGCCGAGAGATGTTGATCAGCCGCGAGGGGGCCGGAGGAATCGTAGGGAGAAGAAAGATTTGCCTACTGGTATGGGCTCAGTTACTTAGTGTTCGTTTATTGTCATGAGTTTCTTAAGACTGTTAAGAAGTAGAAGGAATGAAAAACATATTTCTGGAAAACTAGGTTTGAATCTTTGATGAACAGCAATTTCCTGATAAAGAGAGGAAGGGGAAGAATGGGTTTGTTTGAGAGAACCTTGGCCCCCGATTGTGCTACCTTGAGGGTTCTGCCGTCCTCTCATTAAAACGTTGACCAATAAAACCCTAAAAGTTGAGAGGACTAGAACATATACTTACTCAAGCTCCACCTTATATTGCTCACTTCTGAATTTCCCTTGCAGTTGGTTAAACACATGATTGGATCAACTTAGGAATCTAAAAATAACATGATTTCAATACTAAATAGCATAAGTTTCACCGGTTAATGCCGAGAAACTTTGATGTCGCCTTTTTATTTTCTTAACAGAAAACTAAGCACAACTTTCTTACAATGGTTTTCATCTCTTTTTAAGAAAATATTTGAATTCTTAGTCAAATTCCAAAAACAAAACAAATGTTTAAATGCTACTGTTTTTAGTTCAAACTTGGCTTGAATTTCTTAAAGCATTTGTAAAAAGTAGATGACAAAATAATGTTACTAAACATAATTTTAAAAAACAAAGGTCCAAAAATCAAATAGTTATTAGGTAGAACCTTAGTTACTTGATTTCTGCCAATTAATTACATTTTCTATTGCTAGCCAATGATGGCTCTAAGTCTTGGGTGTGGCCCCCTGATTCCTTGGGTTCCTTTAGCTTTAGATCTATATTAATTCCACCAAAAGAGTCCTAAACTTCAAATTGTGCTCTACAATTTTGAAGAAACTATTCCAAAAGGGTCAAAAAATTTTATCTGGGAAATCCTGATAGTGTGCATTGTTACATTAAACGAGAGTCAATAGAGAAACCCTTCTTCGACATATTTCAAAATCCCATGGTTTCTCTACAATGTATGGCTTGAATGTTTCTCAATAAGTTAAATAGTATTTCATTACTCATGTACCTTGGCCATATATCTAAATGTGCTTGGTTTTTATTCATACACGTCCATTTTGTCCACCCGTGTGTGCTATGACTTCCTAGCTTATTCACTGTTGTAATCCAAATAATTATCTAAGAATGTATTATTAAATTAAACAAGTTCAGATCATAGTGACACTGAACTTAACCTATTCCTTATAGTAGTTTGTATTTGGCATATTCCTTTGTTGATGCATGGGCTGTATATCCACTAGCGGCACGAGAGTAGAATCAATTGGCATCTTCCTTGAAGGGAATAGGTTAAGTTCAGTGTCACTATTTTCAATGCTGTTCCAATTAGTTTATTTGACTGAATAGAGGTGGAAGGAATAAATGGAGTAATCCAAAGAGAGCAACAGTTTATAAAATTGTTTGCAATTATGTGGGTCGATGTTTGGCATCAATTAAACTACTTGATTGTACCTTTTTTTTGTGCATTTTTGCTGTATTCTTTAATGTTTTCAAGGGAAGCAAGGGTAAAATGAAGATTGAACTGTGAACAGGTGCGGTATTGGAGGCAAAAGCTCAATTAGTTGGGATTCATGAGCGAGTGAGGAGTGATGTTGAGAATAATCAACCTTCAAATCCATCCATTTCAAACACAACGCAGGCAGGCAAGCGCGTGGCAACTGCAACCAATCCAAATGCTGAAGATGCTGCAGAACTGCTAAGGTACATTTATCGCATTTTCAAAATTGTATCCTGGTTGAGTGACATTATTTCATTCCTCATCAATCCGTATGTACACACATGCATAAAAAGAGAGAGAGAAAAGAAAAGAGTCCTGCTAGTGGTTTCAGGGTAGAGAGCGTTAATTTTTAAAAATTTGATATTTCGAATTAATCGTATACTTTTCTTCTCTTCTTTGAAATCCTGATGTAAATCAAAGCTGTTTTGCACTGAACTCAACTGTTTGTAGTAGTATCTATAAGTTTCTCGTGCTGATCTTGCCATTTTTGAACGGTATCATGTGATTCCTTTTCCAGAATGTGCCTGCATTGTGGCATTCCCAAGACCTTTTCGAATGCACGAGGGATGTTTTGCCCTCTATGTGGTGATCGTCCTCCAGAACCAGAACTAGAACCAGACAGTGAGACGAAAAAGAAGGGCTCGACAGTCAAAGATAAGGAAAAGATAAAGAGAATGAGGGGACAGTCATCTCATGCTACTTGGAAGAGTGAAACCGAGATGCAGCTGAGACAACAGTTTGATTAGAGTATGTTATATATGTCTTTGAGCTCTTGGAGATTTGTGATAGATTTAATCTAAGCATGATTGTTCATACCAATCTGTGATATTACCATGTCTGGTTTATGTAGTTAGCATTAGTGGTACCCAGCAGTTTGTTTTGACAAACCAAAATGTTTCCTTGCTAGTTAGTTCATTCTTGCTTTTGGCTACTCTCTCTCTCTCTCACACACACACAATTTCCACTCTATAGTGTAGCTCGACCTTCCAGAATGGCATTGAATTCACAGAATTTTCCCCATCATGTAACTCGACCTTTGGGGACGATGTTGAGTCGAACGCCATTGCCTCAAATTTGGCTTAAGCATGTTATGATTGGGTTGTTATGTCTTGTTGAATATCCATCCAGGTGCAAGGGGTTTCTAACCCCAACTCTTTGGATTCATCTTGGAGTTGTTGTAGGAGGGGTTTTCTATCAAGATTGTATGAGTGGAGGAATTGTTCCAAGCAATTTGTCCACTCATCTTTATATTATGAAGTGCATTCTAGAGGGCCTAATACGATGTATGCACTTGAAATGTTTATCTAACTTTTGATCGAAATGATAGCCATTAATGATACTATGTAATAAGTCTTTTTCAATTTATTCAAGCTTTTAGTTGTTTTCTCTTTTAGGTAGCTCGTTTGCTTTTGGATAAATAAAAATGCTTCATTTTCATTGAGACTTTAGACCGGAACAAAAGACGGGGCGACTCAACGTCTTTCGAAAAGGGATGCCGCTATGTTGAAGAGACAATTATCTCACTTGCAAACATATTTGGGCGGGATTAAATATATGACGGGGTTACCCGATATTGTAATAATTGTTGATCAACAAGAAGAATATCGGGCTCTTCAAGAATGTATCACGTTGGGAATTCCAACCATTTTTTTAATTGATACAAATTGTGACCCGGATCTCACAGATATTTCGATTCCAACGAATGATAATGCTATATTCAATCCGATTAATTCTTAACAAATTAGTATTTGTAATTTCTCACTGTGTCGCTCTAGCTCTATACGAAATTCTTGATTAATAATAAAATAAATCAATTTTTAATTTTTGGAGAATAAAAATGCTTCATTTTCATTATGTTCTAAGGGTCAAATTAATTAAACTAATGAATGAGGCATTTGATGAAATTTAAAAAAAAAAAAAAAAAAAAAAA